GCAGCAAACATTCTAATAGCACATGCTTTAAAGAGAAGTTGTTCATATCAGCTGTACCTGATGTTCATTCCCATAAGGTTGGTACAATAAACACTTAAAAAATTTATTTAAAACATCTTTATTACAGATAAATACTGACATTATGTTGTAAATAAGGGGCACTATACCATTATTTTAAGTTTATACCCTTTGTTACTTTTGTCAATGTATTATATGATATCCCATAAATCCACATCTCTTTAGGCATTTGAAAGTTATGATTTAATAAATAAACTCATATACATCCATGGACCCTGAAAACATAACACTCCATTTTTTGCGCTGTCGTGTGAAAAAAAACTCACTTTGGCATGTAAAATATTAGTAAGAAAAACTATAACTTTTAATAACAATTGTTTTTGATGCCAAAACTGTACTGTGAGTACTAGTTGACTTTTTATATTAACAATGGTGTGCTTAAGTTTTTCTTATTTTGTTTTAGGATACAACACTAATCTGCCTGAACAATCTGCAGTGTTTGAACCAGTTGCCTGTTCATCCAGAATTTACCCTTTAAGAGAACATAATGCCAATATCATCACTCCAACAAGTTAATAAATGTTTGTGCGTGACTCCTCAAATCAAGAAGGTGGCTTTTGTGAAAGCAAATTATTGATAAAGAAACTGAAAAGGAATATGAACAAGGTATATTGATCACAAAAAACTGTAAATCTTTTAAAAAATGAAGCGTTTTTAAATTTTACTTGTAACAGTAAAACATTTAAAGTTTGTGTGCAACAGTGCCATAATTACTAATTTTAAAACATTTTTAACGCCAGCCACAGACGTAAATGTAATAATGCATGTAAGAGATTTTTTTGAGATTTTTTTTTTCAAAGAAAAATGAATTATGCATAAATAAATGCCATCAAAAACAAGATATATATATATGTACACATATATACATATAAATATATATATATATATATATATATATATATATATATATAAATGATAAGTTTCGCAATGTATTTCTTCCACTACAAATAGCTGTGAGATCTGTAATGACTAGGAGCTAAATGAAGAACTTAACATTGTATCAATTAAAATACTTTATTGTCAATTGCATTCAATAGTAGATTATTCTTATATATCTATGTTGCCGTGCGAGCGAGTAATTTGCCGAGTAATTACAGGACAAGCTTTTTGACTACAAACTTACATTATGAAAGGTAAACTGTATTTTTTATTTTGAGTGAAGATGTCTCAAATACTTAAACTGAATAACTTTCTGTACTTTCAAATTTTCTGCATAGTATCATTTATATTCTTTATTGATCTAATATTTACATGATTAAATCTATCTAAAATTACAGATTATCTAATAAACCTAATCCACGCGGCATTTGTATTGTATTTTAAGAATATTATTTTTATTTGTGTTTAAAATTTGCTGATGTTTGAGATTCATTATCATTACACCCACTTACTTGTGATTTTTGTACCAAATTTCTGGAAATGAATACAACTCGTGTCTGAATTCATGTAAATGTATGTCTGTTATAATGTATGTTGCATAAATGAATATCTCATATATTGTATTTATTATCATGCTAAATAAAAAAGTGAACTACTGATTCATTCGTTTTTTTTTTTGTTTAATTAGACTGCTCTCTAAAGATGAATAAATATAGCAATTTATGCACAAGTATACTGTGTGTTACAAAGGCATTGTACTTGTGCATAAAATGCAACGCCAAGTACCTTTAAAATTACTAGTTTGAAATTCCCGCCCTACAATCTGCTCACTAGTTCTTTTGGGCAGAACGCAGATGGCGCCGGTCGGTAAGAAAAAATTTCCTCATAAAATTTGTATGTAGCCGTCATTCTTCTCTTTGAGTACAAAGAGAATGTAATCACTACGTTTAAGAGACGGGACTCCCAAACTAGCCAAAAATATCAGTTTACGCGGCACTCCAATACCAACCATACCACAAAGATGTCAAACAACAAGACTACCAACGTAACGAGCCAAATAGTGCTTAACCAAGCTAGCTTAGCTTATGGTATCGATAAAATATACTAGGTAGAAATCGAGGTTTCAACTTAATATTTTTTTATTAATTTTAGTAGGTAAGCATCGAGTCCGCATTTATGTCCAATGTTGATAAGGGGATATTTGGTTTGGTAGAAGATTGGACTTAAATACGGACCCGAAATAAGATAAAAAACGGTTTCTGTCAATTAAAATAAAATTTTATTACTGAAATGAAATTTGTTTCTTGATTCTTCAGCCAACAGCTGTTGTCCTGCTGTACACGAGTCTGGAAATAATTGAAATATAAAAATAGAATCAAAATCCAAAAATTATTTTAGTTTTCTTGCATACTCAGCGCACGAAATTAATTATATGACGTATCAATATTACAGAGATTATGTTTCAAAATCCTGCAAAATTCACCTATTCCGATCCTTGGCCATTTATGTAGGCACACCATTCAAATATGTGTAAACTTTGTGCCCCTACTATTTCACGCAACATTTTATTTCTTATTTTTTTTTATATACATCTTATTTATTTTATAAACATTAACATAATTATCGATATGTGGATATTACAGTTGCAGTACATCACTAGCACACAATTTAAATGAGATACATTTGTTAATTCTATTTGTTCTTAGTCTGCTCTACTTACATATGGCTGCAAAGTATTATATTTAAGTGCTTACATGGACTTCATCTAAGGGAAATCTCACCATAAACATCCTTTTTTCAAGATTCGAATGACGCTCGAATTTTACGAATTTCACAGGTCACCGTCTTTTTGGCATTTTGAATTAAAATTACAACTCTGATCACCTGTCATTAGTTTTCGTGAGAAAGTTTACTCTAAACAATTTAAATAGACAATGAAATAAGCATTTACATTCAAAATACGCGGTGCGAAATTAAGTTTTGACAAACAACATGGCACTTCTTGTATTGCAAGAAAGAGAAACCGCATTGAGGGAGAGTGATAGCAATGTCCGCCATTATTTGCCGCGTAAAGTCCATAGAAAAAATTTTTATTCCTAGTTGCGCCAGACTGTTTGAGTACAAGTGTTCTGTGAACACAACAACATTAGATTACATAAAGTCATAAACATATTTTGTTTTATACTGACTACGCCAAAACTACAGTGTTTAAAAAAGGACACAACGTATTATTTTATAGTGATATGGAATATTAGGGATGGGTCGTATCGCTTTTTCTGAGTACCGTATCTGAATCCGATATCGATTTCAAATATCAGATTTCGAAACTATGTATTTTAATATCTAGATATTTTACGGTTCCCTATCCACGTTGATTAATTGAATTCTAAAAAAAAAAAAAAAAATTGTATACTTATATATTTATATAAAATTGTTATTATAAATATAAAATTGTGCAGGCGTATTTAAAAGTTGATTCATTCTATGTACATAATTTTCCTTATATTTAAAACTTAACATTATATATTTACAATTATGTCAGGGTTAATAATTATTTATATCCTTCCGGGTTCAAATTCACGTTTAGGAACGTAAGCTCTCTGACTTTATTCGTCGAAAGTCTTGTTCGACGATCATTAATAATTAACCCTGTCTTACTAAAAATGCGTTTTTTTAAATTATTAAATTAAAAATTTCATTAAAAATATAAATTGAAGTAATATAAAAATGATTTATTTTAACATCTTATATACCGCTTAATAATTGACTTTAACATATTTTTAGAACACGCAATCGAGTGGCAATATTTTTATTATTTGTGTAAGAAATAATACATTCAGTATTATAGCTTAGGGCGGAAGAATTTAAAATATACACACAAGGCACATAAGCCTTGGTCTGATTTCCACCAAAGCAGCACAGCACTATTAAATTATATTTTTATTTTGTGTACTTTTATTTTTTTCCAAAAATATGAATAAAATTTAGCTAATAAAAATATTCACAAAAAATTAACCTCCTAAAAAATTTCCATTGTATATTTTTCTTCCTTAATTTAGGCAGAAAATTCTTAATTAGTAAGTTGGCATCCCTTACTATTACGTGATAAGTACCAATGCAATCCAGCTCAAGGCTGAACAAAATTTCAAAGACATCGTTAATACCGTAATTCGTATTTAAATGCAACAGAGTTTTTTTTTCCATGCTGTTAAGATTCAAAATTACTTAACTGCGCGCTTTGTCGCCCGTTACGGCTCAAGGCTAAACAAAACAATAAAAATATAATAATATCGTTGTAGTAATCGCTGATACCAAGATTAGTATTTAAATGAAACGGATCTTATTTGCATCGTGTTAAGATTCAAAATTACTTAACTTATTCATAATATCTGTTTAAAAATCTGATATCGTGCATTGCTTGCCGTCCCACTCTAACTAGTAAGTATTTATATCTCACGCGCTTTGTCGCTCGATATCTGATATCGTGCATTGCTTGCCATCCCGCTCTAACTAGTGAGTATTTGTATCTCACGCGCTTTGTCTCTCGAAATCTGTTTAAAAATCAGATATTGTGGCAAACGCGTATGATATCGCCGTATCGCGATTCGTGTCGGTATAGCGAGCGAGCACGGTACATCAGATTTCGGAAATATCAGATATTGTAAAATACATAGATATTGAACGAGCCAGTAAGCGATATTGGGATATTGTACTAATATCTAGTTTTCATATCTGATACGATTTGTATCGCCCACTTCTATGGAATATTACAGAAATTATATCTAGATAATGACAGAACTAAACACGAATTATACAATTAATTTGACGGTAAAAGTAAAAAAGACTACGAAACAAAACAACGAACAGGATAACCTACCGTACTTACTTCCGAAAAACGGATAAGAAGAGGCTCATGTTTGTTTTGTTGTTTGTTTTTTGACCGCGGATCGGAGTGTCCTCGTGTTGGCGACTCTGGCCTGTCTGGACACCACAGAGGAAGCTTGTCCAGGGCCCACAGCAACTGCTACGTTTGGCGCAGATCACTTCGATGTTGTGCCCGGCTCATCTCGTGGGGACACGGAGTCCGGAATCAGCTCCAGCTCAGCCATAGTAACCACACGGTGCTGGATCTCTGGTCCAGCAGCGAGAGACACCAAAGCGCGTTCGTGCGGCCATAAATACACTATGCCGCTTCTTTGTTAAGAACTCAGACAATGTTATCCCAGAGCCCTTCAAACCCGTCTTGGCAGACCATATCTCGTTCCGCTGATCCTGAGATTTAAATTTAATCAAAAGCGGCCGCGCCTTATCTAAGGAATTTTTACCCATACGATGTACATGGTGTAGGTCATCTCGACTGACACTGAAAGCTTATCCTTGGCTAATTTCACAACTGCAACCTCAAGGTTCTCACCCTTCACCTCCTGCAAGCCGTGAAGAAGGAGCATTTTTCTTCTGCTTCGTATCTCCTGCTGCTCAACATCTTGCACCACCATCTCAATCTGACAATGCAGTGTAGATAATGCAGTCAACACGAAGGACTTGAACTCTTGAAATTCTGCAGCTAATGGAGTGTTGGACTCTTGGCGTGCCTCAAAACGAGCCATCTGTGCAGTGAACTTTTCCGACATATTTTTCAGTGCTGATTTTACATCTTCCATATTAAAAGACTAGTATAGTTGTAGAAGAATAAGGACAATGTTGGCAGGTAGTGTAATTAGTAGAACATGAGCTGTAATTAACTCTAAATAAATTTAAATTAAAGCGCGAATAAAACACGTCTTGACTACACAACACCTACCCGCGAAAATTATTATTAATTTAATTATTACCATATTATTAACGGTAAACCAGTGGAGGATAAGAATGAATATGAAATTTGAATTTTGACTGATTTTGAACTCAGTTTGTTGTGATGTATTTTGTTGTTGGAGTATTGATGGGCTGTGAGCTGAAGATCGGATATAATTTTGCTTTGGTGTTGGTGTACGCAAAGTTGGGGGTAAATAATGATTGGAGAGTTTGAATTTGCTTGATGAATTTCAATAAGGGCTTAGTACATCTCTTTTTATTCATAAATGGCAGCACTGCCGCCAAAGAGTACATTATTAACACTGGGAATAGTTATCAGTGTTCTCGTGAAATAGCACCAACTTTTGATATTTTACTGAACTAAAAGTTCAAATGTATTTAGCTTAGACTGAACCATTTTCATTTTTTATTGAGAGCTGTATTCAACTACAGTTTTCTGTATAGTGAATATGAAACTTATTTATTTTTGATAACATTGTATAGAAAACTGTAATTGGATACAAGCCGCCTGCTGGATGTGATTTTTGGATAAAGTAAATAAACCACAGAAATATGTTTTGCGAATTTTATTTCGTTTTTATAAATAATGTATAATAAATAGATATTTGAATACTGAAAATTTAGCTGTTTCTTCTATTGTAGTGTGATAACGAGCCTTATTCAACACAGTTTCAATTACCTGAAAAACAACCATAATCTGTTAAAATACTTATACTCTATTCCAATTAGAGCTAAAAAACCCATGTCTGGTTGAAATCACACTATTGAAAGGAGTAAAATTTTAAGATATTGTATTTTTATTATAATTAAATATCTTTACAATTCTTTATTAACAATAAGAAACATAGATGGGGACACCTATTTGTGTCATAAAAGTAAATTATGAACAAGTTTCTTTGTTTTGAAGCTTACATCATTACATATACATATTAAGAAATACTTAACATACACAATATTCAAACTTGTCTTTTGTTATTTTATTCATTTATGATATGGCCCAACTCAGATTTCTTTGTATCTAAAAGAAAGTTTTGAATACCAGTCCATTTCTTCGATTCAGTGCTTCTGACATACTAAAATGTTGTTATAATACAGGGAGATTTTTTGAGAAGTGCCCAAATTTACACAGGAGGTTCAGACTCGGTAGTATAATCGTTTATTGAAATAAAAAACAAAGTTCTTTTTCCATAAAAATGTCATTCAATTCCCTAAAATACAGAATGTGTTGGTAATGCGGTAGTCATTCATAAATACCTAAATTTTACTGTTGCACGAACTTGTGTGCGTGTTAGTTATGAATGACCGAGCGTAAAATAAATGAGTTGCGTATAAATCACGCACTTTTTGAGAAAGTTCCAATGAACGTAATTAATTACTTATGAGTTATTTTAAATATTTATCATTTTTTTTATAACATTATTTATGTCTAGAATTTAATAAAAAAATGGATACACTTAGAAAAGCCACCCTGTATATGTTTGGTATTATTGGCTATATATGATATCAGATAAACTAAGTTGCATTACAGTTGCCACTGTGATAAATAATACAAAACCTAGATATTAGGTTTTATTAAGCAGAAAATGTATACATAATGATGTAAGATCGATGGTGACAGTAATTAAGCTTTTAAAATTATTATTTTGAATGTTCTTTACATTCAAAATAATAATTTTAATAATAATATTTACATTTATGGCAAACGGCCGGTATTATACCATTCACACTATCTAGTAAAAGTAACATAATCTTTTAAACATTCTGGCCGCTTTTTACTTCTAGCCGGTCGCTCTATTATCGTTACTTCTCTACATTATTCTTCTCGTATATTTTCACTTGGAAGGTCTATGTTATAATTATTTTCGTCAATTTCGGTAGGTTTTTCGATAAACTCAGATGAATCTATAGGCGCTGAATGTCTGTTGGATACCGTTTCTTCCCTTCCTTTCGTCCTTGATGATTTGTTTATAATAGCTTCACCTCTTCGACTACATGTGAATATTTCGAAGCCCGATTATGCTTTTCATGAAAACTGGCCCTACCACCGCCAACCACGCTGGTAATGACCTTTTTCTGATCGTCGATTATGCCTAAACAACCTCTCCGTTTGGTTTATATCATATTTTTTTGTTATAAAGCCAATTGAATTGTCTTCCACCAAGTGCTATTAAATCGTGCCACCTACCCCCTTGCGATTATACGATGTTGTTCGACTTGTAGCTACACCTTTACTTTGTAATTAGACCTTTAATTCATGGGACATAAATGATGATCCTCTATCAGAAAAAAAAATAGAGGAAAAGTACATACATCAAGGTTCACACCGCGGGGCGCAGCTAGTTAGTTAATAAAAATTGTAGTCGAAATATTGAAAAAATTCGTCTGGCAAGTCATATTCAAACCTAATGCAAAAGTACCACATTTATTTACTTATTAGTTTTTGAAATTATTACGTAAGAAAAGATTCTAAAGAATTTACACCCTGTTTTTAATATATTTTTATAAATACGATATGCACGTGTTATATAAAAATGATTTATACAGCGTGTCTTTACAATCGCGACAATAAATGAACACACATATGGAGGATAAATTTTTAAAATTGTATTAAACATTTACATACTTTAAACATCAATATTTACCGACTTATTAAATTTTCCAAAACAAAGAATTTTAGAACACCCTTACGTACAAAACTGTAACGTAAAGTTCACAAAGCATATGAATGGGTTGAATGAATTTAAAAGAGACAAAATATACTGTTAGAAGGAGAGGCTTGTAATGCGACGCTGTGGCAACGAATAAAAAACTCTCTGAATGTATGAATCAGTCAGTTGTAGTTGTATAGGATGTTACAAATTTTGTTTCTTTTTTACTTAATTAGTTTGTTTGAAATTTTTTTTTAAATGATAGATTTTTTAACGTTAATGTTTTTTTATGATTATTAGCAAGTAGCGTTAGACGTGTGTTCATTTATTGTCGCGGTGGTAACGACACGATGTATAGATGACCCTTATTACAAAAATCTTAAAAAAACTTTAAATATGTAACACCATACCCTTCCTTTGTTGTTGGTGAAGCCATATAATGTCGACTCGTGTCGGAGACTATTGTAACTCTGTTGTTGAATTGGCCGGAATCTGTAAACCACACCAGGTAAGTACCTGGTGTGGTTTACAGATGAAATCAGAGTGTGAGAAAGGCAAGGCTGCATGGGTAGTAGTGCAGGGGCGTCGAATTATGCCACGACGTGAAAACATTATCTGTAATAAAAAATCTTTTAGTATATGTGCTTCCTAGTTACATACAGCATCATTACGAATACTTTTTTTAAAATATGTGATAACATAAATAAAACACAAAAAAGACTTTTATTTCACACCTAATAACATTTTGCGTAAACTAGAGGGGTAAAGGCCTCCTCTAAAGAATCCCAGAGCTCATACCAAACACAGTTTAATCTAATTTTAGCATATGATAATAAATCATGGGAGAATCAAGTATATTGGTATAGGGAACCAGTTTTAATTGCCTCCTTGGCACAATGGTCAGCCATTTCATTTCCTTGAATGTCAGTGTGCCCAGGAATCCAAGCTAGAGATATCAATATTTCTTTCATATGACACCTGTAAAGAGCAGCTTTAATCTTGTAAATTAAGGAGAAAGTAAGTTTATAACGGAAGAGATTACCTAAAATGGCTTGCAAACAAGTTTTAGAATCTGTGAAAATGATAGTTATATTTAGGTTTATTTAAGTAGCCTCACCAGTAAAAACTGAGCTATAGGGGTGGCATTTAAATTTAAGTATTATTTTATACTTGGGAAACCATACAGCAGTTCCAACACACCCCATATGATACATTTTGGAAGCATCTGTGTACATTATATGCCTTCCCTAATCTTTCAAAAACTTATCAAGAGCTAATTTCAGGTGAAATGGAGCCAATCTAGAATTTTTCTAAATTCCAATATCAAGGTTTGATAAAACACTTGGTTGATATATCAGCGCTTCATAAGGAGTTTCATATAAAGGATTCATTTTGCATTGCTATATAGGACAGGGTAACTGTAGAAATTTGAGAAAACTATTAAATAGACAAGGAGAACCTTTGTTATTCTAGTAGCCTCATGTTGATATATATTCAGAAAGTAAAGGGAGTTTTGCAATGAGTTATTATAATTTTACTATGTACATGAATCTGTCTGACAAATATTGCCTCCTTAATGTAGGGTAGGATCCACATATTCCACCTGGAGAGCATTCCTAGGGTATGACTTCATAGCTCCAGCGATTATTCGGAGACATTTTGAGAGATCTAAGGATATTAATATTCATTTCATATTTTTTGGTGACATTTTGTAAATGAGTAATTCCAGACTCGTGACAGAATTTCGTGTCAAGTATCAAACCCTAAAAATTTTACTTCACATTTCACTTGGATTCTTTGATTGTCAAGTTATATTGACTGAAGGAATTATTCTACGTTGAGAATAAATAACAGCAGTACTTTTGGGAATTACTGAAACTATAGATTTTTTAAATTTAATATTTTTTATGATTATTCGCAAGTAGCGTTAGACGTGTGTTCATTTAGTGTCGCGGTGGTAACGACACGCTGTATATTATAAAGCAATGCACTAAGAACAGACTCTTGGGGAAGACCCTTCCAAACAGTTCGAGGAGGAAGAAAAGTATTTTGACTATTTAGAAGAATAAATCTACCTGAACCTGAGAGAGGGCTAAAAATAAAGTTTACTAATTTAAATGGAATTCCTAGGTTGAGAAATTTATGTCTAAGTAAAGGAAGAGGAACATTGTCATATGCAGATGAGACACTAAGACACACCC